AACTCAACCTGGGGAGAACCAACCAGAATTTTGATGGAGGGGCGATCAAGAGAGCCAGAGACGATGGGTTTGATCTGTGACTGTAAAGTGCTCTTTCAAAGAACTCAGCAAAGAAAGATGGGCTCAGATTGTGAAAGAGGAGGAGTTATGAATGAGCTTAAACATTTCCTTGGACTCTGGAAACTTTTTGTCTTTTTCACAGAAGAGGAGAAACTTTCTTCTCATTGAAGAAGAAAAACTGAAAATGTGGGAGAGCTGGGATGGCTGACGGAGCAACGTCCTAAATAATACTGGCTGCACAGGCTCATCAAGTTTTAATCAAGATCTTGCATGAAGGACCTTGCATGTTTCTGATCAAATTTTTAAAGATGCGCTCTAATTCATTTTTTATGGTATCTCTATTTGGTAAGAAGGAATAGCAAATGTCACTGTCGCTTTTGCAATGCTTCTCATATCAGGAAAGCTGTGAATTAAAAACAAATTCTGATCCCTCTTACTCTGGGCTGCATTAGACCAGTAGAAGCGATAGATGTAATTAGTCAAATTCTCTTAAAAATGTGCTATTTCCTAAGCATTAAAGATTTCTTTTCTGATGAAAGAACTGTAAGATCAGAAGGTCAGATATCAAAAGTACTGAAAAGGGTATTATAGGATATAATTAAAAACACATACTAAGAATTTAGAAGGTGGCACGAAAGTATGGTGTTTCCATAATTAGATTACTTACATATTTGTTTTTAAAATTTATAACTCAGTTTTCCCCTAAAATAGATATCAGAGCCACCAAGGAAATATGCACACTGAAATAAATTAAGCAAAAAGATAATTGGGACCTTAGAAAGACTTTGACTCTGAACTTGCTGATGGCAAGGTACAAAAATGAACATACAAAGTTACACTAAGGATTAGTGATGAGAAAACATAAAAGCACTCTTTCCTCAGGAGAAATAATTTTTTCTCTTGCTTTACCTTCTAGAAGAAGTTTCTGAAATAAAGTCTTTGTAGTGGACATTAAGTAACCTAGTGGACAATGTCCTTGGCAAAATTTTACCAAAAAAAAATTGCATGAGACTTATTGCTTCAAATACATACTATTAAAATGCCAGTAAATAGGTCATTTTTCAAGAGGCTGAGTTTTCTGAATTCAAATATCTAGGATATTTGATCTAAATTGGTTACAGTAGCAAAATCTGAGATATAGGAGGAATGAAGGACTGAGAGTCTAAGAAACTATCTTCTCTAAATATTTTCATTTGAGTTTTGTAAAAATGCATTAAACCTCTGCAGCATGGTGAGTCTCTAACAGCGCAAACTCAGAAAACAGAAAGAGAAATCATATCACATAACAGATGATACTCAGGTGCAGGCCAACCCCACCTTTTTCATAAAGCTTTGTCTCTATGATCTTATCTATTATAGGTGCTCTTGAAGTTAAGATCAGGACACCTTGAAGAAACACATTTCTTTTCTGGAACAATCAACAAATATTCTTCAAAAAAGTAGCTGAAGTAGTTTGCCAAAGCCACACAATAGAATCAATAACAATTTGATATATTTGTCTACGGATTAAGTTAATGGCTGTTTAACTCATTGGATTTTTTAAATCTAATGAAAACTAAGACAGTACTCTGGATCAAACTTATTAGATTTATTTCACAAAACATGCCCTTTTATATTCAACACTGAGGATTCTATCATTTGAGATGTTGGCTAACAATGTATTGTTAAAAATGTGAAAAATGTGTAGAAAAGTATCATAATACAGTTATTATACTTCATGTACTATAGAAAATATAGTGATGACAGAAATTTTGGCTGCTTAAGCAATCAAGATCTGTGGGGTCTGGATAATTCCAGTTAAATAAAAATGTATAAATATGTACTCTAATTATTGTAGGCAGTTAATTAAAAGTATTTGTGTTGAAATGTAAATTCTTGAGGGATAATGTAGAATAATTAAACATGAATAGATTTTGTATTAATGACAGCAGAAAATTAGTCAAAGTGAATGCCAAGATTCTCAAGTATGTTACTAAAATATTGTGTGATAAAGCACTTCTATGGGAATATGTCTTTGAATTTCTTAATCAAAGTCAGCAGGAAACATACAATTCAATATTTCACTTTACTTAAGGAGTCTCCTGGCTTAGACATCCCAAATAACTGGAAAAGCTAAGTTTATTGAATGCCCCTTTCATTTTATAATACAGAATCCCCTACCAAATAATCCTAAACCATTGTAAAAATATATTAAAAACTTCTTTAGGTTGCCTTGTTGATGTGTTGAGTATTGTACAATACTTTGCATGTAAAAACAATCACATATTGAAAATGATACATTTTTTCATGTCTACCTACACTAAACACAACAGAAAAAACGTTTTTTGTTTAATGTCTCAATTTTTTAAAATACCCATTGATAGTATATTAAATTTAAAAATTATGATGACAAAAGTATTCATGTACGATATTTAGCTGTGATCGCTATCTGTCCTACTCATGCCTTTTCCTATCTGTTCCAGATAATGACAACTATTCAAAGTGGCGCATAATCCTCCCCAAGCTCCATGACAATGAAGTGATACATAAGACAAGTCAAAGTTCCAACTGTCAACTAGATGGCAGATTTAATCTGTTATTTCCAGTAGTGCATTACTGAGTAATGTACAAAAAATGGGCTAAACTTCAATATCAATTTTCATCCATGTTGTTCATTTAACATTTAATCATATTAGGCCTTGTATTACTGCTTAAGCATTTCACTTCCTGCAACTTGTCAACTCAATGAATCACAATAATCAGGGAATATGTTACATTTTCCTAATTAACAGGTCAGACATCTCTTCTATTTCTCCTTATTAAGTTGTATAATGTTATGTGCATTATGCATCTATTAAATAAAGAATGAGTGAAAATTATTAAATTTAAATTTAGTAGCATTCCTCTACAGCATAAGATTAGTTTATAAAACCACTTGACTTTGAAGTAGTGAACTTTGTCTTCTGTGCACAGCACGAGGTTTACAACAAACAGATGTCCACTGAAGTAAATAAATACAATCAATGAGAAAAACCCACCGATGTCTCAAATATGCATCAGAGAAATTAAGAATTCTACATGACAATGATTTTCCTCTCTAAATAATGATTAATGAAAAACGATCACCATGAAAAATAAATTTTACCAAAAAGAAGAATCTCTAAACATTAAAAGATTAGGAAGAAAGGGTAATGCCAGATGCTATTAAAATAAGAACTATTGATATATAATATTATCATCTTTATTGTTACTGAAAAAGTAAAGTATATTTTGTACTTCGTACTCTGAATAAGACACAGTTTTAGTTGGAATTTCACACCAACTGCTTAGTTGTCCTGAACCAGATCAGATGTCAGTGCCAGGATTCTGGGCGTTTACACCTGTTTAGATTTCCTTTTTGTCTGTCACCTCTCTCCTCCTGGGTAGGTGATAATTTTTTAATAATTTTGTAATGAGAAAAATAGCTTTATTTGTATATCTCCTTGTCTCTTATATCATCTCTATTGTCGTAATTCAGTTTGATCAGACACAGCCACGCCATTTTTATTTTAAAATGACTTGTGTACCACAGCCTTGGATTTCCATGTAGCTTCTGAGAAATAAGCAATTACTTAAAGAGAGGGTTCTCTGCTTGTATAATGGAAACATTCTGGGAAGCTTTTCTCAAATGACGAATTAAATATTTGATTGATAATATTTTCAGAGTTAAGATTTATTTAGTGATTACTCTGTGACAGAAATGGCTCACGGATCTTTACATGTGACAGTTTATATAATTCCCATAGCTTTCTAAATTAGGAATTGGTATCCTCTCAGAGGTGTCTGAGCACAGGCCATTGAAGTGACTTGCCCGAGTCACGCAGCCGCAGTGGGGTGGGTCTGGACTCCCAGCCAGGCTCCTGGGGACCAAACCGTGTGCTCTTCACCATCTAGGCGGACGACTGCCTCTCTAAAAGAACAGTCATTTTTCTTTTCAAAAAATATCAATGATATTTTTACAAGCCAATGTAGAAAAATCGATAGTAGACAGTGGATTTGTTACCTTTGTCATTTCATTCACTCCTGAAAAATGATTTCTCAAATATGACATCCTCTGAAACCTCTCCTGTCCACACCAACTCCTAGCCCATCACATGGAATAAATGAGAGGCACAGATCACAGACACTAACTGTCTTGGCTTGTATGGAGCCAAGAAAGAAAAAAAAAAAAAATGGTTTCAGAAAATTTCCAATGCATTTCTGCTCACATACATAAAAAAATTAAAAAATACCTTGTAAATGTATGCACTATTTATAGGTTTCCAATTAGAGAGCAAGGTGAATTAGAATCAAGTTTAAAAAAAACACACACATCGCTATCTGATTTCCACCTGTAAGTAATTTAACATCAGTATAATCTCAGCCATCTAAAAAGCCCAGCTGAATCTACAAGCTCCTGTTTCCATCCGCAAGCACACGGGTATAAGGAGTGCAACAAAGCTTCTTCACTTGAGGATTCTCACCCCCTGATCTGTCTTTTCGAGGCTTGCTCTCTGCTAACCGCTGGCATGAAAACGGTGTTCCTTAGCTGGCCCCATGCAGGTGCTGTGACTCCACAGAAAGCCAGGCTCACACGCCCGCTAACGCAGCACCCGGTGCTTCATCACACTTGGTGCACCCCACGTCCACGTTAGCAGCAGGGGGAGCAAACACCGAGAGGCTGGTTCGCAGGGGCTTTCACTGAGAGCACCCCCTTTCCTATGACATGACAGCAGGCGGGCCGAGTCCCTCTGAGTGAACCAAGGGGATAAATGCTCAGGAAGGGGGAAGGAGAAAGGGAACAGACAAGCAAACAAGCCCTCTGACCTGACGTTATGGAAAAAGAAAAAGAAAAAGACGCTAAGATGAAAAAATAAATAGTGTCATGGTTTACATGGGGGATTTTGATGGAATCTAGGGCTGTGTTTTCATTCAAAACTCACCATCTCAAAACCACTTCTTTTCATCCGCCTGCAGGACTTGAGGTAAGTGCGTATGCGCTTTCTGGCACGCTCTTGGTACTCAGGGAATTGTCGCCTGCATGAGTCAATGATAGCCTGGATCTTTTCTTTGGGCTGCTTAGAGATTGGGACCATTCGGTCCAAGTTTTCATCTACAAACAGCCTGACAAACATCTGTTGGCAAGAGGGAGACAGAGGAGAAGGGTTTGGAGGGCTGCTCTCTGCTGTTCCTAGCGTCCTGTCTTGATTACTGATAGGAAAATACTCTTTTTTCTTTTTTTCTTTTTCTGGTTTATTCACTGGAGAACTTTGCAATGGAAAGCCAGAAATTTTAAGCAAAACACCCTTTAAAGACTTTCTAAGTGGTTGGATAAAAAAGAGAGAGAGAAAGAGAAAGAGAGAGAGAAAGGCAGACAGACACAGACAGACAGAAAAGTATAGACTATTGTGTAGAAAAAAATCAGGAGGTAACAGTAGACTGCGACAATTAAGCACCCCATAAAATTCTCTGTTGAAGAGAAACATGACTGCTACATGGCTACACTGCACAATGTACTAAGCTCTGAAAACAAACGACTGACTCCCTTGTCATGCATAATTAGATAAGCTGGGAAAGCAAAAGAAATAACTGATGACGGGCGTACTCTTCGGAGAAATAAGCTGAGGCCCCCTTCATCCACTAGGGAAACATGCATACTCACACAACACAACTCCAGTTTTCAGCTGACATTTGGCTTTAAAATTCTAAACAAAACACAGCAATTCTGGTGTCTGGTTGGCAAAGAGTGTTTCATGTACTTTTTAAATCCTTCTGTAAATTAAACAAACATGTCTCTAAAATATCCACATTTACCAACAAGCAACAACATGAAAGTGAAGTGGTAACAATTAAGCCGCACCGGGAGTGTGGCAGGACTCACATTAAAAGCTTTCAGCCGCTCTGCCTCCACACCATCCGTCTCATTAACTTTCTCAGCATCGTCATGGTCGTCGTGGTCATCTTCATCTTCATCTCCCCTGTTCAGAGACAGGTCCTCAGCCCCTCTGTCTACACTCTCATTTTTGCCAGAGTCGTAGCTTGAGTAGCTATGTGCAGGAGACTGAAAGGAAAGGAGGAAATTGCTGTTTTTAAATTCATTGCACGAAATTCATTTTGTTTTATTTTTTATTTCAACTGTTTCTTAAAGAAAGTCTTGTTTAAAAGAGTCGATAATTCTAGAGCTGTGGCTATTCTAATTTAAATCAAAATTAATTAAGAGTGAATTTAAATTTCATTTCCTCAGTCACATTTCAAGTGCTCGATAGCCACATGGGACATTTCCATCACTGCACAGAGTTTTTATTGAATTGAGTTTTTTGAGGGCAATTACTGTTTCCACTCAATATCCCTGTTCCATAGAAAAGAAAAGGAAAACCAACCTGTAATCAACTTTGCAAGGGAATCAATGAATCACATGTTTTCCAAAATGGAAATGACCTCAGAGCCTAGTCAGTCTAACTGCATTAGTCTTCTTTAAACGGAAAAGGAAACTGAGGGGTGGACATGTTTAATTGACTTGCCCAACAGGGATTAAACAAAGTATTATTGAGACTAGGTTTGTTATTTGTATGACAACATGCTTTAAAATTAGTTTATAAATTGTCTGTGAGTCTTAAGATGGCATCTACTTTTGGTTTGGAAAAAAGGAACCAGGATTTCTCCTAATCATCTGTCGAGGTTAGTGTTTCCTAATGTGTAAGAGATGGGAAATGCCAACCAAAACAATTTTCACAAGCTGATAATTGTCTCCAAGACCAGCCATGGGTCCTGCTGTGGTATCTCCTACTTCTCTGTCAGCCCAGCATCTTTTTCTTTCAGAAACAGGCCCTGCTCTTCGCCGAGTGAAAGTGGCAATCCTAAGGCATCCACCTTCTCTGCCTTGTGTGTGCTTCAACTTCACCTCTAGGTGAAAACAACAACAAAACTTGCCTGTAACTGAAATCAAGTTGAATCCAGCAGAACTAAGCAGAACGGAAACTGTCCTAACAACATCATATGAACATCTAGATTCTACTGTGCTTGAAATTCACCCAAACACTCTTCAGATGTACGATGAAATGCATCTTCCACCCTCACCCCCCCTTGTATTTTGATTAAATCTGGGTTTTAGTCACTTGTAGTTGAGTCTATAGTGGTACAGAAATCAATCATTACAAGGCCAGAGTAATGACACAGAGTTGACACAGAGTAATTTAGATACATAGGTGATTCCAGATAAATAACAATATCTGTCAACAGCAGCAGTTATTCTCATATCTATCCACAAAGTAAAATCCTTCTGAAAGACCTTGACAATGAGAAATTTTAAATCAATGGTGTTTGAAAATGCCTCCGTGAAATGATAACATATGTGTAAGCATGCTTTAAGGATCACACTAATTTAACTGTATAATAAGAGAAGAAAAAAATTAAACTAGAATAAATAACTGACCTTAAAAGTGAAGTTAAAATTTAAAAACCAGCATATTTTTACAGTTCAAACCATTAAGAAGGTAAAATTACCTAATAGAACACAAGGCAAATATTCCATAAGTTTGAAGAATACACCATATAGAATATGTTTTTCAATGGCAACATGCAATATTTGGAAAATTTTATAATGTACATTTATAATACACATAATCTGAATTCAAATATGCCAAGCTAATTTATTCTCTCTACACACCCTGTGATACACACAAACCGGCCATCTGCTGCAAATGGAATCACTCGGAACCACAAAGGACGTGTAGTCCTAATCACTTAGGGTAAAAAGAAAGCCCATTCTGAATGGATTTGAGAATATTCAGGATTTAAATCTAAAGCATAACCAATGCTTTTACCCTCTACAATATAAACTGAAATTGTAAAAACTCTGAATTCTGTTTCTCAGGTAGAGTTTCATTTCTTGCCTCTCACTATGGAAGATCTAACCAGCTTTCAAGGCCAATCAGATTAAGTTCAGTTTCCACAAAGACCCCTATTTCTGCCTCTGTCTACCTTCAATCTTTTGCTAAACTGTGAACTCACAATAAATATACTATGGCATCTGACACAGATTTAAACACCTCTGTTGCTCTCTACTTACTGCATTTTCCTTCAAGCTAGACTGAGACAGGCATCAATGCAGAACCTTCCACATTTCCCCTCACACCTTCCAGGATAGTCTCTCTAGAAATTTGGCATTCAAGATTAGTTTCCCCTTTACTACAAAATTATTTAGTCTTAAAAAAATAAGAGAATGGCCTTGGCTGGTGTGGCTCAGTTGGTTTGTCATCATCCCGTACACTGAAAGGTTGCCAGTTCGATTCCCCGTCAGGGCACATGATCGGGTTGCAGTCCGATCCCCAGTTGGGGCGTGCAGGAGGCAGCCGATCAATATTACACTCTCACATAGATTTTTCTCTCTCTCCCTTCCTCTCTAAAAAAATCAATTAAAAAAAATTTTTTTAAAAGAGAATAAAGATAAGCCATAGACTGAGAGAAAAGATTTGCTAAAGACACATCTGATAAAGGACTGTTATCCAATATTTTGTTATCCAAATATACAAAGAACACTAAAAACTCAACAAGAAAACGAACAACAAAATTTAAAAATGTACCAAAGACCTTAAGAGATACCTTACAAAGAATATATACAGATAGCAAATATGCATATGAAAAGATGCTCCCCATCCTAAATCATCAGAGAAAAGCAAATTAAAACAACCATGAGATAAGATATCACTGCAGACCTATTAGGGTGGCCAAGATCTGGAACACTGACACCACCAAAAGGGGGTCAGGATGTGTGGTAGCAGGAACTCTCATTGCTGATGGGAATGCACAACGGTACAACTGCTTTGAAAGACAGTTTGGCTTTTTCTTTCAAAAGTAAACATTTTCTTACCATACAATCCAAGGAGTTAAAAACTTATGTCTATGCAAAAACCTGCACACACAGGCATTTATAACCAAAACTTGGAAGCAACCAAGATGTGTTTCAGTAAGTAAATGGATAAATGAACTGTGGTACATCCAGGTAATGGAATATTATTCAACACTGAAAACATGATGAGCTATTAAGCTATGAAAAGATATAAAGGAACCATAAATTTACTAAGTGAAAGGAGTCAGTCTGAAAAGACAACATAATGCATGATTCCAACTCCATGACATTACAGAAAAGGCAAAACGATGGACAGTAAAAAATAAGTGGTTGCTGAATGTGGGTGTCAAAGAGGAATAAATAGGCAAAGTACAATGAAAATACTGTGTGATATGTGATATGACAATGAAGGGCCCATGTCATTGTACATTTGTCTAAACCCAAAATGTACACCATGATACGTTAACCTTAATGTACATTATGGACTTTGGGTAATTATAATTTGTTGATGTAGATTTATCAGTTGCAACAAATGTACCATCCTGTGAGGGATGTTGATCATAGGGGAGGCTATGAAGGTGAGGGGGTGTATGGGAAATCTCTGTACCTTCCTATTTTGATGTTAACTTAAAAATTGCTCTAAAAACAAACTCCTTTAAAAAATGGGGAAATGTGGGTATTGAGGTGATAATAAAAACTCAAGCAACAAAAATTACGATAGGCCTCCTAATAACCCACATAAAGAATGGCAGCCATTGCCCATAAACCTGCCTTAAGAACTTTGGATGACCATACCCTAGGAAGCCTTCATTTCAGGAGCAATTTTTTTATATTCAAAGTATGAATCTAAAAAGTCCAAAGCAGATTTTAAAAATATACAAAAATATTAAAGATTCACAACTTAGGCCCTATGGAAGGTGCATACTTGTTTATCCTTAAAACACAATGTGTTGGTTTATGGGGATACGGGAAAATTTTTGCCTTAGTTATATATTCCATTTGTTCCTCTTGAGGTAACATGTGGCCTTCCTTAGCAAACACCTTCCTGAAAATACATTTGCACTTCCCTTTATCACATTTTCCCACCCTTATTTAATTGCGTCACTGGGCCTAGAAAAATCCCCACAAGGAGGCAGCTCAATCTCTTTGCACACTCTGTGGTCAGAGCAGTGCCACAGTGCTTGAGCTGCGGTGCGGCTGGGGCTGGGGCTGGGGGTGAATTTCTGATATACAGCCAAAAGAAATAAAAAACAAAACTTTCATTTTTTTTCATTATGCCCTAAGTAAGAGAAGAACCACATAAATTCAGTGCCAGGCATCCATGCTTTAATACCTTCTGCATGTACCTGTGAGAGCACTGACCATGAAGGACTGTGCAAGTCAGCTTACATGTCCGTCTCCCACAGAGACTTTCATCTTTATAACCTTAGACAATGTCAAGTACATGGTGAAAATAAAGTAAATGTTTTCTGAATGAGTGGCTGCATACACACTGGAGTTGTACAGAAGACAATTTAAGTTAATTTTTTAAATTACAATTACTTTTTAAAATATCAGTATTCATTTCTGAATCTACTGGGAAATCTCAGCATTATTAAAAGAGTGATGACCAGACACCGTGTGTGTTCTGACATGATGTAAAAAGAAGCATACAGCTCAAGAAGCAAGCTCACCAAAAGGGGAAAAAAGAATTTGAGTCTAATCAATGCTCCATCCAGAAGAAGTGGTTCTCCAACTGTGCCTGCTGGACCAGAAGAATCCTCATTTCCCAGGAACTTATTATAAATGCAAATTATTGGTCCCCATCCCAGACTCACTGAATCACACACTTTGGGACAGGACCCAATAATCTGTTTTAATATGGTATTCAGGACATTCTGATGCACACTCAAGTTTGAGAACCACCAGTGTTAAGCCAACTTCCATTTATAGGAAATTAAGCAGAGAGAATAGCAAGTTACTGATACCAGAGAAAGCACACAAATCCAAAATATGACACATTGTACAGGACAATTAACTTTGATTCTGCAATAAGTTAGTGACACAAAGAAAAACAGTGACATATTAGAATAGATTTGAGAAATATACTAACATTAAATGTGTTGACCTTGTTTATTCTTAATTCAAATAAACACAATGCAAAAATTCCTTTTTTCAGAAAATTGGAAATATTTGTGTGGATGGGGCTATTAGATGATAACATTGAATTTTAT